TTTCCCTAGGTGTGACAACAGAGTAGGAAAAAAAAATCAGCCTTTGCTATTATTTCTTTACAGTGTAAAAGTAACCACCCCTTTTTATTAGAATCATAGAATCATTTAGGTTGGAAAAGGCCTTTAAGATCGTCCAGTCCAACCGTTAGCCTAACCCTGCCATCCCACCACTAAACCATGTCCCTAAGCACCTCGTCTGTCCAGCTTTTAAATACCTCCAGGGATGGGGACTTGGCCACTTCTCTGGGTAGTGTGTTCCAGTGCTTGACAACCCTTTTGGTGAAGAAGTCTTTCCTAATACCCAATCTAAACCTCCCTTGGTGCAACTTGAGACCATTTCCTCTCATCCTATCGCTGCTATTTGTCTGGTTTGTCCCTGCCTGTGAAAAGCATTTCTGTAGTGGCATTAACTATTCTTCATATGCATAAATTAGTAGTTGGCTGGAGAGATTTGGAATTTAAACAGTATAGAGAAAATAGAAATGTTAGAAGTAAGGACAGCTAGATAATTCTGTTATCAATAAAACTGGTTGCTTTCCTAGATAGGGAAATTTCCCAACAGTTTTTATTTACCCCAAATCTTCCCTAGTATTTGACAGCAGAGTAAAAGCAGTCAAAATTTTCTAAGAAGTTTAAAATTTACAAAATGTTTACAATTCTAAGAAAGATTTATTAACTTCAAACTATTCTATCAATGAAAATGATTAATCTTGAGAATTGCAGATTTCTGAGTTACAATATTGGCTGAAGGCAGCTTTACATTAGGAGTTTTAATGTTTTGTTTCTGTTAAATCACAGGAAATCAAATCAGTTGCTTTATTTTTTCTGCTGTTCAAAACTGTGACCATTGCTATCAATATAAAACCAAAGATTACCTCAGTGGATAGCATGTTCATAGCAAAATTATGTAAATGAGTTTAGTTGCATGTCCAGTTTCAAAGGTGTCACTCCCACTGAAGTCAATGAAAGACCCGCCCAGGACTTTGTTGGCAGAATTGGGCTTCACATTCTCAGCATTTCTCCAGGTAGTGTTACTGCAAACCAACATGTTTTGTGCATCACGTCAGATGCATTAGCTCATCAATTTCATTGTGGCAGAGATAGAAAACAGATTTTCTCTATAACAAGATGAAGGTAAGCTCATTATTCTGGCTTGTGTGTAGGGAGCAAGAGAAAATATAAAACTTATTGCTGACACAGGTCTTCATGCCTGTAAGTAAGATGGGTAAGATTCAGGTTTGATAAACATTTTTTTCCCCCTCCTCTTTTGATAGTACTCATCACCCTGCCTCTCTCCCTTGAACTTCAAGTTATAATTTCTGATGAAACCTCTTGCGTCACAGTCTTAGTCATGCCAAGGGCCAAGTTCTGGACTGCCAGTGTACCTTACCCTTTCCCCAGGCCCTCCAGTTACAATTTGTGATCACTTTTAGCATGTAAAAGTGCCCAGAAGTGGACACTGCTCAGACAGGGGAACTTAATGGGAGCAGGAAGGAGAGGCGGAGCTGCAGATCTGAGAGACTGCTGGGCAGGGGCATGCTGGGGACCTAAAATTTGTCAAAAATTACAGGCAGGTGGAAGAGAGGGGGGTGGGTAGTGTGGGGAATCTAGGGATAGAGGGAGGCAGATCTCAAATCAACAATCTTTTTTTTGGTTGTTGCTTTTCAGCAGTGATATTTGCTAAAAATAAATACTGAATCCTATCAAGGCTTCCTATTCATAACTGCGTAACAAGGTTTTATCATTAACCAATGGGTTGCCCCCAGGATATTCATGCTTTCAAGACAAAAACAGTCAAATGTTTTTGGGATATAAATTGTGTCTGGATTTTGGCTATGCCATTTCAAATTTGATGAAAACTTTTTTATTTCTTCCTTTTTTTTTTCTTCCAAATCCTGTCATGCATTCCAATAGTGACATTTTCTCCTGGTTTGAGGAAGAGTCCTATAAATAACGGTAGAGCAATTTCTAGTAGCAAACATTTTCTGTAACTCCATCCTGGGACATCGAAGACTGACAAAATTTGTAATAACTACTCACAGCTATAAGTACATGAATTCAAGTTTGAATTCAATACTGACAGTCATGAATGCTATACATAATACAGAATTTGATTATGTTCTCCAAGTTTTTGTAGAATTTGGGATGGTTCAGGCAGGTGGCTTAGGCTAGATGCGACAGCTCTGTAACATAAGAATGGCTGTGATCCAGTAGATGAGGCATTTTATTTGTTATTTGGGAAGCCAGGGTTTTATTGAATCTGCTGGTACTTTGCTGTGTAACGTGGGACAAACCACTTCTCTCTTACTCATCCTATTTTCCCACGGAGAGGTGAATGCTAAATGGTAGTCAAATGGAGATATTATATGAGAATGAAAATGTTTCCTTCATGATGTACTTTGAAATCTGGGATTGAAAAGTGCTATGTGAGATTACAGTAATGTGGGCTGTATATGAACAGCAATATAGCTGGGTTTCATTTCAATGTACAAAATTAAAATGTAGGAATAGGTTCTGAAGAGATTTCTTTCCTTTTTGGTAAATAACCGTTTAATGAGCAAGAGAGAAAAGCCATTCTCTGAACTGAAAAGATACGATTTTTAATTAAACATTAAATAAACATGCAACATATCTCTGTTGCTTCTAACCCTAACAGCAAAAAAACCCCAAAGTGTTTCTAAGATGGAATGATGGGAATGCCTTCAAAAATATATAAAATATGTAGTTTTATTAATTACTTAGCTCCCTTGCACATAAAGCTAGAAAAAAGGGGTTCATACTGAAGTAAAGAAATGAGTACATATTTTAGGAGTTGAACACTATATCACAAATTTTTTGTGTTTTAGCTAGAAGAACAACACCTCTTTTGGAATATATTAAAAATAGAAAATTAGAAAAGCAGGTACGTTCAGAATTTTGCCTGAAGTTCAACATTTATGTTTCACATGGTTTTCCATTGGACAACTTACAATTAATCATTTTGACCTCTTCAGAGAATACGAGAAGAGAAAAGAGAAGAACGAAGGCGGAGAGAATTGGAGAAGAAACGTCTGCGAGAGGAAGAGAAAAGGAAGCGCAGAGAAGAAGAAAGACGTAAAAGAAAAGAAGTGGAGAAGCAAAAGAAGATTTCTGAAAAAGAAATAAGGATCAAGGTACCTTAATGAACAAAAAAAAAAAAATCTGTTGAAGTTATCCAGAAGTTCCTTTGGTTTCTCACTTTGTTTATGTACTGCTTACGCTGTGTGTCACAGCGCAGTGTGGAGATACCAAACCAGTTTTGACTGGCAGGGGAAATAATGTAGGGCTTTGACTAAGTAGTGTTGTTGAAAAATGTGGCTAATTACCTTAGGTACAGTGATGTGCTGATGCAGTTATGGCAGGTAACTCAGATATCTTTATACAACACTGCCACATTCTATGCTGACATAACCTCACAGAACCAAATTGTTCCGTGCTAACACGTTGGAATATTATTGCAAATAGGACTTTAACACTGTCTGTCATGTAAATCTTCATGTAGCCTATGTGCTGAGATTTTTGTGTGTTTATGCTCAGAACGGATTTATTTTGATAGTATGCTTTAAACAAGTTATAAGAAAGTCTTGCTAATTTCAGGCTGTGCTGCCTTATAACAGTCTGAATAGATGTGCTTTTAATGACTTCACTTAGGTGGGTGTATTTTGTGCTATTATGTCTGGGCATTTAAGACCTTATTTGTGTAAGATGACATAGATAATAACTATTCTTCTGAGATAAATTTTGTGGTATTGGAAAGGTTTGATAGGCTGTTTTGAAGAGAAAAATTGGTATAAGAGTCTGTAACATAACAGAAGGACACACAGACTCGCTCCAGATCTTGGGGTGGGGAGAAGGCACAGAGCTGTGTACTTCTTTCCTCTTCCCTTTCTTACTAGACAACAGTTGCCGGCACCTGGACATAAAAAATAGTGAGTTCTGAAGCCAAATTACAGATTTTTCATATTTAGGCATAAAGAAAAACATTCTGGAACTTCTGAAGAAAAGGGAATTACTCTTTAAAATGTATTACCCAAACCTGGTTGTCCAAAAGACCCCAGTATTTATGACATATCTGTGGCAATGTGACCTTGAAAGCTAGTTCTGTCTCCTAAAGAAAAGGAAAATACTACCTGAGAGGAACATTGCAGAAGTTTCAAATATTGGAGAAGAATAACCTGTGCTCATTTCAGAAAAACTGGTGGAATGAAAAGACTGATGAGGTGTTCTGCTTATTCTTGAAATGTTAGAGAAATAGTTTGAGACAGTTCATCCTTCTATACAGATTATTCCTGTAATGCTAGACACTGCTCAAGCTCTGTGCGAGTTATTTGTTGTGAAAGGAACGGACTTCTTGGAAATCTTAATCTCCAAGCTGAAAATGCAATGTGATCTTTTCTGCTAACATCATAATTTTTTACTCAGTCTTTTTCTGTCAGGGTGTATTTATACTAAGTACCTACTTCTGTATGCTGGTCCCTCCCAAGTAGTTCATGTGTAACACATTTTATATATAAGATTTCATGGAGTGAAGTATTAATCTTGCTCCTTTTGTCTTAGAGGTTCTGCTTTTTATTTTATTGGCAATAACATTGAAATTGTAGACCATAATAACATCTTTGTATATAAAACTTAGAAGAGTAGGTAAGTGCTTTCTCCAGTATTCTCAGCATATTTAAAAGTGCGCAGCTGAATGCCTGTTAGTGATGGTCACTCCTTAACAAAAGTAAACCGCCCTCTTGAAATAACTTTGTAAATTTTATACTTCATAAAATACATTCTTACCATTTAAATATCTTCAATCTTAATAGATTTTTGATATATTTAATGCATTGTTAAAATGTTATTACAATAAAGGAGAATAATTTTACATCATAATATAAACAAATATTTCTTAGCTTCTTAAGAAGCCTGAAAAAGGAGATGAGCTGGCCAGTGAAAAGCACAAAGAAAAAGGTGAAGAAGGTGACATTGAAGAAAACAAATGGGATAAATCACCTGGATCTGGGAGTATAAAATCCAAATCATTGGAAGGTTCACTAAAAGAACTTAAGGAAAAGTAAGTAATATTTATCGTTTAGGCTCCAAATTATATCCTAAATGTTTTCATTTGAAGGCTTAAACATGATGTAAGTGGTGCGTTGGCTGGGTGTTTTGTCAGCACGAGACTGATTTCATTCTGTCTGTGAACAAATCTCTCGCTGTCCTTTTTGTAAAACGTGTTCAGTAACAGCTTACTGACCTGATGGCAGTTCTAGTGCATGCATTTTGTTATTTGTGAAATGTTTGGAAATCCCAGACTGGAAGGATTTCTGCGTGAAAAGTCATTCAGGGTTTCATTGTTACTTCACCTGCTCCCCGTCAAAAGCTCAGGTAAGGCAGTCCTTCCATTACTGATGTCAAAAACTAAATTGCCTCAGGTGCCTTACTCTTCCATCACACTTTATTAATTTCTGCTGCAATGAACAGATAAATGTGTCTGATAAATGGGACAATGGCAGAATAGTTAAGGTGTGAATGACAGCCTTATGATGCAGGTGCAAAAGGCTGCCTCTGTCTCCCGCTGCCTTTTGTGTTGCATATGGAATAGTAGGAACAAGAGGTATAGCCCAGTCCTATAACTACTGTGGCCCGGAAATGTCTTACAAATATTTTCAGCACCTGGTTCTCTCTCTTGTCCTTTGGCACGTGTGTCCATCTCAAGCAGGATGCACCCATAAGATATGCAAGATACATAACTAAGAATAATACGCTACTGAAGTAAACAATACTTTGTTCTTCAGTAGAGTTTTTCAGCCAAGCTCTCAAAAGTACTTCGCAAAATGAAAGAGCTGAATCTGAGATTTCATGTATGTGTGCAACATGTACATAAGGACAAGGTTCGGCATTTAAATAATTTACCTAAGGTATTATATACACAGTATTAGAGGAAGTTTGGGATTGTGCTCCAGGAGCCTTGCAGGCTACCTGCCTATTCTGAGTAGCTTAAATTTTACCTTTGTCCACTTAGGTTCTTGATTTTTATGAAAAGTGCGTAGGAGCTGCAAATCTTCTCCTAATGGCAAATAGAAAGATAAAGAAACTTTGAACACTGGAAAATAAAACCACTGAATTTGCTAATTGAAGAAGTGGTTCACCTGTAATATCCTACATGCATTAGTCATCTTTTTTTGTCTCTGACTAAGGACTTCAAACATGGGCTCAGTGTTTCAGTATGTTGAGTATGTCCTGAAAGATGCTGACAACTTCCATTTCTTATTCTCTGATGGAAATTGAAAATATTCAGCAACTCTTTTCATTGATGTTCTTTAACAAAGGAAGCAGAACAGGTTCAACAGAAACACTTGCAGGGGCAAGTCAGTTGTTGCTAATAAGGCTTTTTATGTATTAAGATCTTGGTGGGGCCATAGAACATTTTTACTATTGATCCTGTAAGTTTAATAAGACATTAATGTAGATTTTCCACGTGTAAAACAGAATCCTTTTGGCTGTGCAGGTGCAGTAAGTGTTACCTTGTCTTTCCAAGTGCTCATTTCATCGTGATTTTTTAGTGAGTGGGATTAGGTAGCAGGCTATGAGCTATTTCAGCTGTATTGAGAATTAAAGTTTTAACTACTTCATCACTAACTCAGAAATCAGTCATAAACTGTAACTTCCAACTCTACATGCAGGAGACTGAATTGCCTTTTTGAAACCATGTTTAAAGGCTCAGTAGCAATAGCTTTCTACCACAAGTTAAAACCTCAGTAAGTGCGTGAGCGTACATGGTCACATATGGATTTGAAACTAGACCAAACAGAAGTATGCTTCCATTCCCTTTGCTTCCATTCATTTCTGCTTTCTCATTCTCTGGCTGTGTAACTTTCTCTTCCACCTATACTTTGTAATTGCATGCCCTGCTGTTTCCACTCTTGCCTGCCTGTTCACCCTGGCTGAATTTTAGAAAGCTACTTCAACCACTCTTGAACCAGAGTTTGTATCCCTGTCACCTGCCTACCTCCAGGCACATCCATTCCTTCCTTGCCCACAGTAACAGGCAGGGGAAGAGACAGGTACTGGGCAATGCTACAGCAATAAATCCAGGTGTGTCTCCCTGGATTTTTGGAAGGTCATGCTCTGAGCCTTGCTAGGACTTGGGAGTAGTGTCTAGAACAGCATATTAAATGTGAAATAAACCAACTTACACCCACGTACCCCTTGAGAACTAGCATAATAATTTATATACATGTATGTATGCTACAGGTACAGTATCTCTGTAATTGTGATTGATTCAGGTGTCTGTGACAGCTGGGACATTGCTTCCACTTGGTGAATGTGTTATGCTGGCGCAAACAGAGTCTCGCCAAATGCTGAATAACTTACCTGTCATTCAAGTTTTATTCCTGACCTGCAGCTCTTCCTGAGATGGGGCCCCTACCTTGGCAGCCCCACCAATGCCCAAGTTCATGGCAGAGGCTGACAATTTTCACAGTTCTGTTATTTAAAAAGAAAGTTATATAGAAAGATACACTGTTATGATATTAAACCATTCTAAATGAGAAGCATGTCACTATTTGATCACTACACCATTAGAAAATCTCCATCCTCTCTGATTCTGTCTGCTGATTCCCAAAATGCGAGCAGACTGTCGAAAGCAACTTTCCTGTTTCTATTTTAAGCATTTATACATATGTAACATATAAAAAGAAACTGCCTGTATTTGCTCCTTTTAAAGTTCAATCTATTCTGTAATCTTTCTTCATTATTTGCAGTTTGGCTGTATGATAGAAGCACCCACTTGCTGAACAGGAACACTGAAGTGGATAAGAGAGCTGAGAATTGTATCAGACAGGCAGCAAAATGTTGCAAACTAATAGTCTTTATAACATAAACCCATTGCAGCATGGCAGAAATTGAGTATTGTGTTGTGGTAAGGCAATAGTCTTTCGCCTAAATAAAATATGCAAAGGTAGGCTAAATTACTTGGAGACATAATAAACAAAAGCCTGGAAGATAAGTATTCATTTTCACAAATGCCTTCTGCAAGTTGCAATGTCGGTGAATGATGTTTGTTAGCGTCATAGAACTTTACAAATTGATACACGATACCTGCACCATTCCTTTGGGTCCTGAATGTCCCCATTCAAGGGAATACTCGTATACATGAGTCACCTCAAGAACAGGTCACAAGTGCTAATCATGCAGCACATGTTTATGTGAAGAGTATTGGGGAACTATTTATGGGATTGCAAAGAGGTATAGAAGTTGGAGAATGGGCCTTCCACAACAGTTGCACACAAGTCAGATGTTGCTTGCAAAGCTTTGTCTGCTATTTTGAACTGAATGCGTAGTCCAGGGCCAGACATACGTGGATAAGACATTCAGCAAAATTGCAGATAACCCCTTTTTAATGAGAGGAAAACAGCCTTGCCACACAGTTGATCTAAATACTGTTGAAGTCAAAGGAAGGCTTTGTATTGTATCCTTCAGCAGCTTTTTTTACTGTTAATTGCTTGGATTTTCTTTCTTTTTATACATACTCATAGGTCACAAACTGATAGTGACAAAGAGCAAAGAGATTTGGAGAGAAGATTTCGAGAAAAAGAACCTGAAAGACAAAGGTATCGATTGGATGATGGCAGAAAGCATAGAGCTCACTATGAGTTTGACAAGTTTGTGAGAAGGAATGAAGAAGAGCTGAAATGGGGGAAAGGATACAACCAAGACAGAGGAAAGAAAGGGAACTACAACTACAGCTTCACTGTGGAGGCAGTAGACAAACTGGGTAAAGAGGACAAGTGTGATGACATGGCATCCAAAAAGGAGCGCATAAGAAATAAGGTTCTTTTATTCATTTAGGATAATCTTTCATTAGTTAAATATGCTTCAAGATCACAGGTTTTACTTTCGCAACACAGCATAAAGATGCTTTTTCAAAAAAAGCAATTCTTTATTTCATTTTCAGTAACACCCAGACTTCTTTTTATTGTTACCAGAGGACACCAGCAGTTAAAATAAGTTAAGGTCACAGGTCTCTGCTCATTCATATTTACGATATATAGAAGGCCTTGTGTCTTCCTTTCAACCCTAGCATTTTTAGAACGCTGTTCTTGGAAGCCTTGTATTTTATGAGTGTATTAAAAATTGTTATATTTATGATCTGTAGTGAAATGTAAAGACAGTGGCATACTAGTCTTTTAAACATGTACTTCCGTTACCCAGCTCATAAAGTAATTATAGTATGGATTGGCCAGGCGTTGCGCAGTCGAGGAAATGTAAGGACTTAAATAAATAGCTAATTCAGAGACCGTTGTATTTAGAGGGTGTGAACGTGCAAATTCTTCAGTACTGTGTACCCACCAGTACAAAAAGGCTGTCATTTGGTCAGGACAAATTATGCTCATGGTCGTTGTCAGGGAAGGAGCAGGTGCAAAGCCAGTGTGAGCGGGGCCTGTAGCAGGGTGTGGAGAGGAGCTGTCCCTTGTTTGTCACCCAGAGACGTGGGCATCATTTGTCTCAGACTGTCCGATTTCATGGATGTGCCAGGGTCTTTTCAGGAGGTGGCTCGCCTTGTCACCCTCATTCTCTCTCCCTTCTGATCCTAGATTTTCCACAACAGATGACTGAAATACCGTTTAGTCTAGAAATTTGTTCTGCATGTGAAACTCCTCTTTCAAACCAAGCGACTGATCTGTGATGCAGGCCAAGGCTGACAAGGAGTAAACTGGTGACGTGTGGAGTGAGTGTGCAGGCAGTGCGTGTAGAGCAAGCCCAGGTGGGCTCGCTCTGCGTGGCAAGTGAGTCACCTTGTGCAGGCACAGACAGCCTGGTGTGCCCTGCATTTTGTTTACGCAAAGGTCAGCTGGGCAGTATGGGTGATGTTTTTCTGTGTATACACATGAGCCACTTTCCACATACACCCGCGGCTCAAGCTGTAGAACGCTCAGAAAAATGGCTAGTTCAGAAGCAGGAAGATGGGAAAAGCAATTTGCCTCATGCTTGCCACGCTACTCTTGGAATCTGGTGAAATATCTGCAACCTTGGAACCGGGTGGTGGGTCTTGGGGGCCTTTTGTCAAGCCTTAAGAAGCCACCTCCTTCTTATTTCTTCCCATCGCGCTTCTGGTAGCTTGCTGAGTCTCTGGATTAGTCCACACTTCAAGTGCTAATTTGTTCCCTAAACAAAATAAGCAATATCAGTCAAGTTTTTTGCAGTGTGGTGACTTGTTTTCCTTAGAGTATTTATCACGTAGATAAGAGTTAGGGGCTGAGTTTTCCAGCTTACCTATAGAATTCACAATGCCAACACAAGTTTTTAGGCAGAGATAGAGCTTCTTCCTGAAGTTTGTAAGAATCAATTAGAAAATGGGGAATTTCAGGTGTAAGTAACAGTTGTGTTAGCTTTCATGCAGACTGTGAGGTGCAGAGTCTGTGATGCGAAAAGTCGTTTGGACCCTTTATCATAAACTTTCCAATGGGCACTGCTTGTCAGAGGATCTGGTTTTATGCAGCTGTTTGTGATGTTGTGATGACGAATGCAAGAACAAAAGACCAGAATGACTTTAAAGTGTGAAGGCAACCGAAAGTTAATATAGTTTGATGTAGGACAGTTTCAGTGCTCTGCCACTGTCTTAAAACAGGCTGTTTAATGAAAATGTGCATTCCATGTTTAAACTGTGGTAAAGATTCGGGACTTGAAGTAGCAGTGCACACCCATCAATTGGTCAAGTTCAGTTGAGGATAATTTTCTAGCTGTTACCTGCTCAGCTGTTCTCTGGTTTGTCTTAATTTTTTATGTTTCTATTTAATATTTGTCATTTACCTGCAGAGTTGCAAGTACACAGGCTATTGTTCTTCCCAGTTGATGTTGGTGAAGGTAGCAACATATTTCAGAGTTTTACCTGTAATACTGTGTTTGATAATTGTCTGCAGTATTCCTCCTTGTTTACATCAAATGTATCGTAGGATCTTTAATTTTTACAGCTTGCTTCTTTTATTCAGAATGCTTGGCTCCCAAGAATAGTGTTAAAAACAAGACAGATATGAAATAGTCAATTTTCATTGCACTCCATTTTTTTCCTGGGTCTTCTGAAATGTAAAGCGATTTAACACAAAATCTGCTTTCTTCACAAACATTCATCACTTTAAAATCCCACGTATGTACCCCACACGGGTTTCCCAGAGCGTTAACCACATCTCCTTCCTTCTAGGATCGCCCAGCCATGCAGCTATACCAGCCAGGAGCTCGCATTCGAACACATACGGGATCTACAAGTAAAACCTATGACTGCAGTGGGAAATCCTTTGAAGATGCTCTTGATAAAAAGTATGAGGCAGATAATTCAGCTGGAGGTGGTTCTGAGAAGAGTGAAGAAGCAGAGTAAAACAAACCGGAGAAAAGACTTGTGAGAAGGGATGAACTTAGGATTCAGTGTCACCACAAAAAAATCCTTCGGGCTGTTTCTGAACTCCACAGGCTATTGCACCAACAAAATTGTAATAGCTCTGCCTCTTACTTTCTCTGCCTCTCACGTTCTGTAAAATAAAGGGAAGAGTGACTGTAGACCTATAAAGTATTTTACAGCAAAGGCATGTAGTTGCTTTTTTTGCAGAAAGCAGAGGAAATGCTGTTTGCCTAATTTAAAAGCAGTTGAATCTTTTATCATCAGATTTACCTTGAAACAGAAAACCTCTGATAATTTTGAAGGCGTATTTATACAAGACTTTTTCAGAAGCTATTTCACCTTTTCAAGTCTAAAGAAATGAAATTTACATTTGCATCAGTTTGAAACCTGAGGCACTTTAAATGTATTTGGTGCATGGCATGAGGGTGGCAGGACCCCTTCCTGCAAGGGGAGTTGCGGTGGGACCGGCCCTGGGAGGAAGCTCTGGGGCCAGCAGTGTTTGCAGGAGGAGGCCCAGAGTCTGCACAGTTGTGAGAAGTGTCCGTTGGTATCTGTACCTCATTGTGTTTACATTGTTTTTCAATTAACTATAGCGTCAGATAAGTGTTACTAAAGCTGCAAGTATGTCGTTAGAGAGTTTGTCATTTTCTGAGCCACTTCTGCCTTTTTCGTTTTAATGGATTCTTGTGCTTAAAACAGAAGAAAGCTAACGCAAACCTCAGCACTTAAACGATATATCTGGTTTTAATAAATTAGCTGGTTTTTATGTTTTTGACACTGACTTTGAAAAAAAAAGTGGTTGTACAGTGATGACTTTTTATATGCTAATGTTTCATATAAGTTGTGGTTGCAGGATTTGGAAAATGTCTGATACATGAACGTTCTGCAGTTCTATTTGTTAAAAAAAAATACACACACATGAATGTCAGCTGCAAACCACCATTTTGTAAGATCTAGGCCAAATTCTGCCCCTCCGATGCAGGCACACATATATATATGTGTGTGTGTGTGTGTATGTATATATACCTTCGATTGGTTTCAATGATAGCCATGTGTTAATGGAAGGGCAGAACATGTTCATTTATCTTTCATGGCTGAAAATTTCTCAGTTGTCTGAAACTGAGACCTGCTTTGTCGTTGAAGTTAAATAGTAAGATATTAATTTATTTTTACATCCTCTTTGAACATTTTATTATTAAGCGTAACATCTAATTGTTCTAGACTGAAAAATTATTTATTGTATTTTCCCAGATATTAAGCATTAAATAGAATAAAAGCAAAAAGATTTTGACTATGATTCTGAGACGTGATCTTCTGCAATTTTTTCATCTGTTACTCTAGAAAATTTAAGTCAGATGCTACGCTACTGGGTATTCTTCAGAAGCAGATGAAAATACAGTTGAGAAGTATTTTAGTATCGAGCTCCGTAAGTGAGCTGCCAACTGAAATTACTTCAACCTGAAGCAAAATTGCCGTTAGAGAATCATTTGGGCTTGGCTCCATCTAAAGTTTACCTTGTTCACTAAGTTTATCCTGACTGCAGAGGGAGGATTTTGTCTTGGCGACCCGGCTGCGTTGGGTAGCATGAGCATGGGGCAGGCTTTCCCCTCGGAGAAAGGGCCCAGCTTGGGCTGAGGAGAAGGAGACTCACTGAGAAAGGTCTCCCACAGTAGAGCTGGATGGGGCTGAGATCTTCCCAAACGCAGGTCTGCTCACTAGTGAGTATTTCCCACCCGCCTGGATGCCCGGGGGAGACTTGGGGTCCATGAGAGGGACCCGCAGAGATTTTGCACGTGGTTCAGCTTGAGATCTTTCTGCCAACGGTGGCTTCCAGGCTACTCCCCCACCTTCACCCAAGTGCCGAGGTTATGAGTACCTCTCGATAACACTGCAGGTAATTAACTAAATACAGTTTATTTAGCAGCAATTTTCCATTTGGGGCTTCTTATTTCCCACCTCTTTCAGTTACCAGAGAGTGGACGTCAAACCTCAACTCGGTGAAAACTGCCAGGCTTTGAACACCGGTGCCTGGGAGGTCAGGCTGCCGTCCCCTCGCTGACCCGCATTCCCCCTCCCTTCAATTATTTTCGCTTTCTTGTGGACGCAGCCTCCTGCACGGGGTTGGAGAGAGAGCCTGGCCTCTGACTTCTGGACTTGCATGGAAGCAATGCGTAGGACATTCGGATTCGGACGTGGAGAGAGCAGCTCATCGGTGTCTGCACCACGGCCGCATCCTGAGAGCCTCAGCTGCCTGGCAGCTCGGCTGCGCCGCTCGAGGAACTCTTGGGACAACCTCTGTTACTCAGCAGGTACTGGCATCGTTCCTCCTGCAACTGAGGGGGCCAGTGGAAGGTACCAGCCACCACCAGCAGGATCCGAGCATTTCTGTAGCCACGCATCACCTGTCATGACAAGCTCAGGAGAGACGGGAGCAACGAGGCACCAGCCCAGGACGCAGGAGAGTGCTGCCTGCAGGCTCTCCACTGAAGCGTGACCCCAAGGAGGCGAGAAATGCCCCCTGCCAGCAGAGAAATGCCCCGGATGAGGATGAGCTGCCCCTCTCTGTGCTGACGGCCATCTCGGGCACTGCCAGCAGGATGCAGTGTGCCTGTGGGAGCAGGGATCGGGTTTGGGATGGGGGTTTGTACAGCCCTATCTGTAGGGGAGACTGCACTCCTCACCTGACCGGGGCTCGAGGGCCACTGCCTGCTGGAAGTGGGTGTGTACCTCGTGGTACCGCTGCAGAATACGATGGCCAAAGAAGCAGAACACATTTCCAAGTCCATGCCCCAATCTCTCCTGCATGGGGATGCAGCAGGGCCTGAGCCTGCGCCCCCCGCCGGGGTGGCCAGGCAGGGGGAGCTGCCACCTGCTCCACGCTGGCTCGCTCTCCTACGCTCCTCCCGATGACACCAAATAAATGCAGGCTCGCAGCCTGTCTTTGTGCAAGCTCAGCGTGGCGTGAGAGCTTTAGCGCCGCAATAGTAACTTTGATTTGCAAATTCAGCTTTGCTGTAAGTAGATACAGAATCCCTGCAGAACGGGAATTGTGTCTGGTTACATCGCAGCTGGCTTTGGCGCCATCTGTTTTCTCACTTTTAAAATACAATGCTCTACATTTAATAAAAAAAAAAACTTCACCAGCTTGATAGCTTCCCGGAATGTCTGTTGCCCTGTTTCTTACTGAGGCCTGAGGTCATCAACATCCAGCAATATGGAGATCACCCTGTGCATCAAACTGGAACGGGGCTCCAGTCTGTCACGAACTATTGTGTTAAGGGAAACTGATGTGGAACGTAAATATTCAGTTAGAAAACCTGCACCCGTGCCCGTCGCCATTTTACAGAGAAGCTGATTGAGCTCCAAAACATTGTTCTGACAACTTCACGTTCAGTTTTTAAACACACTCTGCTGCTTTTATAATTTAAAATCAAATGTCTGTAAGTTGTTTTCAGAGAGTCTTTGGAGGTCTTGGCTCACCTCCCCAGCTGTGGTAAGCCAACACTGCCCGCTGTGCTGCAGGCAGTGTCTTTGCTGGCCTCTATTTGCAGCATTGGTCCTGAACGGCCCAAACAAAGCCATCAAAAGTTAACGGGACAAAAAACACTGACTGCGCACAAAATTATATTGAACACCAAAAGAAAACAAGCTTTAAAAGGAAAAAAAAAAAATTAAACTCATTTAGTACTTGCTCCCCACCATTTAGTACTTGCTCCCCACCACCACCACCT